GATAAGGGCCTCTCCTAGATGGATTGTGAGGCGCTGTCCAGCAGCCCCGGTGCTGAATTCCAATAAACTGCTAGTTATGTGAGGAGCCAGCTGCCTCCTAGGAGGGTTAGCCACCCAGGAAAACACAGAACACATTTGCCACAGCTGCCTCCTAGGAGGGTTAGCCACCCAGGAAAACACAGAACACATTTGCCACAACCGTTTGCCAGATCAGGAAACTGAGGCTAAGAGCAGAGGGACACAGCTAGCCCCACCACCATCACCACCACCACCATTTCGTTCGTGGCCAGATCTGAGAATTCACTGCTGGTTTTTCTGGCGCGTGGCCCCCTATCTCAGGCACCTTGTGAGGTTTTGTTGTTTTGTACCTAGATGTCTGAGCACCTGGACTTGCACCCCAACTTCCTAATGAGTGTGCTGAGTGATTTATTCAACAACAAATGAGGGTGAGCACCACGCTCCAAGCTGTCGGGAATGACCAAGGCCTTGAGAGCAGACCCCTGGCCACTGTGCCCATGATTCCCACCTGTAGATAGCCTGCCTGTCTTACCTATACAAGGATTCTCCATGAAGATCAAGGGTTGGGGTGGTATTTGGGAAGACAGCAGGCCTCTGTCCTATTTCCTTGGTGTTTTGTTAAGGAGCTAATTTATTTTAAACTTTCCAATAATCTTAGATATGGTGTGAGTTTTATATTGGAGGGAGACACTCATGGCTGTTATTTGTTTTATGCTGCACTGTATTTTTTAATGTAGTAAAATGTGCATAACATAAAATGTGCCACTATAACCGACTCTGGGGGAGCCGGGCCAACTGGTGTCTGGGGTGCTGTGTTCTGCGGAGACCGATGAAAAACTTCCCGTGTTCTCTCCCAGCCCTGGGTCAAGCTCTGAGTCAGACTTATCTTTACAGAATGGAGGGGGATAAAAAAAAATCTCTCTCTGGGGAAACGTTAGACACCAGGGTGAAGATAAAACTGGCAGATATGTCATTACCCGCTTAAAGAATAGCCGGTGTGCCGTGACCTGCTTTCATAAGTTTGTGTCTGCAGAGGGATATTGCTGGTGATTTCACGGGAAAGGAAAGCGCCCCGGCCGTGGCTGGCGCAGCCCCCCAGGCTCTGGGGCAGTTCTCCACATGCCGGTGGCGGGCACCCCGGTAGACGCACCCGTCTCCTGGACACATGACCCTTCGTGGTAGGTCTGCAGAGTGTGCACCTGACCCCCGACCCCCACGGCTACTCATTTCCTCTCTGATGTCCAGGTTGCAGATGGCAGGTATGCAAGCGACTTTCACAGGATTCAGGATCAGCCCGCTTCTGAGCAGGGAACGCCAGGGGCTGGTGACACACGCCCTCCAGAGTACCTACCTAGGGCTGACGGTGGCTCCGCCTCGCTCTCGCCATTGGCTCCGCCTGCCTGCACAGTCTCTCTGATGGCCACTGAGGCACCTCTGGTTGCCCAGGACAGCCTGTGGCTGTGGGTTCCATTTCCGGTCAAGGGCACATACCTGGGTTGCAGATTCTATCCAAGCCCCGGTCGGCAACCAGTTGTTGTGTCTCTTTCACATCAATGCTTCTCTCTCCCCATCCCTGTCTCCCTTCCATTCTCTCTGAAAATCAATGGAAAAAATATCCTTCAGTGAGAATTAACAACAACAAGGCTAAATGGACAGAGTGATAAGAATGTTCTAGATGACAGGCCACGCTGTCAATAGGAAGGCTGAGTGAAAAACAACCCTTCAGCCCGGCCGGTGTGGCTCAGTGGTTGAGCCTTGACCTGTGAACCAGGAGGTTGAGGTTCGATTCCCAGTCAGGGCACATGCCCGGGTTGTGGGCCCTATCCCAAGTGGGGGGTGTATGCAGGAGGCAGCCGATTCATGATTCTCTCTCATCAATGATTTTTTTTTTCTCTCTCTCTCTCCCTTTCCCTTCTTCTCTGAAATCAATAAAAAAAATTTAAAAAAACCACACACAAACACCCACATACACAACCCTCCAGTTTGTAGACACAGAGGTCAGAGATGTAACAGGTGAGAACAGCTATGCAGGGAGCTTTTCAGGGTGGAGAAAACCCAGCCCGCGGCTCAGGCCCGCTTCCTTCCTAATTGGCACTTGTTGCCGGAACACCTGGGGTGTGAGCTCTGCTGGCATTTTCCCCGGCTCCCTCCCCAACCGGAGGGCTCTCGCAGCCAGCGCCAGCGGGTCGATCCTCAGTGCCCGCCTTCATTCTCGTCTTCGGTTCTTGGTTTCTCATTTGTTTGGCTCTCGGGTATTTGTCCACCTTTAGACACGACGACAGTGACCTTCTCTCCCCCCACCCCCGCGTCACCTCTCCTCCCTCTCCCCCTTTCCAAATCACAGGGACCAGTTGGCTGCCTCCCTGGGCAGCCTGTGCTCTTTTGGGGCAGGGGGTGGTGGTTCCCCCCGCCTCCTGTGCCCCAGGAGAGCAGGGAGGAGGGACCTGCTCCGTGGCCACCCATCACAGAACGGGACGGCCAAGGTGCACATGGCCCTGGCCAAGGCACAGGGCGGGGCGGAGAGACAAGGCCCTGGCTTTGTCCCGACCTCTTCTGGAAGCAGAGGTCCAGGGGCCAGCTGCCTGCCCCTGGGAGAGAGCCACAGCCAAGGTCGGCACATGGGGGAGAGGGGGAGGGCGCGAGAGGGGGAGGGCGCGAGAGCGGGAGGCTGGGGTTCAAGGTCTGCCCCTGCCCCTTCATGCTGGGCAGGCCCTTTCTCCTCCGCACCCTCCCAGAGCTGGTGTGAGCATGTATGTAAATCCCTGTGCTGGGCTACACGCTACATAAGCAGAAAGGGTTAGTCCAAGAATCACTTTTGCTCCGGGCTGCACTATCATTTACATTAAAACCGCTAATTGGAGTAAAATCTTTAACAAAAGAGCCAACCAGCTGTTGTTTATGGTTTAGGGCAAGCATGTCCAACTCAAAGGCTAACAGGGCCAAATAAACAAGGCTTAAGTGTATGTGGGCCGCAAAAAACAAAAGCTTCAATTTTCATAGAAATGTGGGTTTATTCGATAGAGACATGCTGAACACAAAGGCTGAAATAAATGAGCCATTGTTAACATAAAATAATAGGACATTTTAAGAAAAATTGATATTTTTTTCTTGAACCTTAACTTACCAGACACTGAATAACTGCACAAATTCATAAGCGTCACGCAAATAAACCTATTTTTCTGGTTCTTTGAAAGCGAAATATTTCCTGTTGCGCACACCAAACAAGTCAGTCCAAGACTAATGATGTGGCCATCGGCTGCTAAAATATTCGCTGCTAGTATTAGTGGAGAGAAATTGTGCGCCTGCGCGTAAGGGCGTAAGGGACATGAATGCAACACGATTATAGTCATCAGTCATTAGTGAACATTGTAGTTCGTTATTAATATTTTTGTATAGCAGGATATTGTAAAATTAAGTTACCGAATTTTTATTAAAACGTTTCTTACATAGTGTTACATTGGCTGGGCCGCAAAATCATTCGCTGTGGGCCGCGAGTTTCCCATGCTTGGTTTGGGGGAAAAACCCACAGATTATTTCAAAGGAAGGGGATTGCCCTTCTGGTGTCAGGAAACAGCCCTTAGTGCCTCCCTAGCCTGACACCTCTCCCCGTGGCCCCCTCTGCCCTGGGAGGGAGGGGGCTGTGGTCTCCACCGTGTTGGGAACAGTCGGTTTGTAAACATTCAACCCCCTGCCCCCCCTCGCCCCCCGTCCTCCCCCCGAAGGTAGCAGGGCCAGCGGGAGGCATCTTGATGTCCTCTGACTTTGTATTCTCATGACCGTGAGCGTGGGCCCTGCCCGAGGCTCCCAGGGCCGCAGGGACAGAGGCTGCCTCCTCCCCATGGGAAGGGTGCCTGCGACCCTTAGACCTGCCCAGCGCAGCCCATCCGGCTCCTCCCCGGCCTTACTTCTCGCCCACCCCTTTCCGAAGCGCGTCAGGTGCATCGGGCAAACCTGAGCATGTTGAACAGGTATCCACCCCCCGCCCCCCGCCCCCCTGGAGTCTTGGCTCCTGCCCTTGCAGACGTTTCTGGAAGAAAAGGGGAGGAACACCAGCTGTGGAGAGCGCAGAGCCCGGGCCACAGACTCACAGCCCCCCTGGCTCTCAAGCCTCCATCCCTGCCCTCAGATCCAGGAGGTGCTCCCGTAGGGGAGATGCTCACTCAGTCGGTTTTGCCCTCTTTCCTCTTCACTGCAAGGTTCCCCAGCCCCCAGAGCCCTCTGCTTCCTGTTGGATGGAGGCGGCGCTCCCCGTGGGGTCAGGAAGTGTCCTTCATGCGTTCTGCCCACTGGCCCCAGGCTCCTGGGACGGGTCCCTGCTTCTCCATAGCCTTGACCCCTCCATCAGGAACGTGCTCCACATTCGGTCCCAGCCAGGGTGTTGGTGAGCTCGGCAGGGGCACAAGTTCCACCGGACAGGACTCGGCGCATCCTCTTATCCATCCCCAGCCACACCTCCTCCGACGGTGACAGTCTCCGCCGTCTGAGGGTGGCTCCTCAGGTGACTTCATCCGCCACCGTGTCACCCTCGGGCGTCTTGCTCATGAGCTGAGAAAACCCTGCATGTCCAGGTCAGAGGTCATCGAGCTCTTTCCATAAAGGGCCAGGTGGTAAATACTTCAGGTCATATGGTCTCTGTCCCCACTCCTCATGTCTGCTGATGGAGCATGGAACTAGCCACGGACAACTCGACAACTGCTGTGTGCCAATAAAACACTGAGATCATGTCATTTTTCTGGGTCGTGAAATATTCTTCCTTTGATCTTTTTTTCAGCGACTTCAAAATGTAAAGCGTTCTTGGCCTCCAGGCCCTACACAAACAAGCGGTGAGCTAGACTCGGCCCAGGCCTTTGGCCGCTGACCCGGTTTAGGCTCCCCCCGCGTGGATTTTTGGGGGCCTGGTGCCCCCGAGCTGCCAGTGACGGCAGTGAGCATGAGTGGAAGCCTGTCCCTAACCCCGCACGCTCTTCTCGTGTCTGTTTCAGAGGGCCTCGCTGTTGGCGTTGGGTTCGGAGCTGTGGAGAAGACGGCGTCCGCCACCTTTGAGAGCGCCAGGTAGGCTACACCTGCTGCCCCGGCTCCCGGCCCTGCACCCCGTGCTGCTCCTGACGGGCACCCCCAGCCGCTCCATGAAGCCCCAGACACGTGTGCGCCGGCATGTCCTGGGTTGGCAGTTTCCGTCCTCAGCCTCTCGTACCGCCTGTGGGACTCCCAGGGTGTTCCTCCCCCCACCGCCAGCGTCCCCCTTCACCTGATGCCCAGGGAGGTGGGAGGGTCCTTCAGTGTGTGAGAAACGTCACCCAGGTCCAGGGATCATGACGATCGAGGTGCCTGTGGCTGTTTTCCAGCACCAGGCGTGGGGCGGGGAGTCGGCTCCCTGTCCTGCGGCACAGCCTGTGACGTTGGCTTCGGTTAGAACATGATGAGCTTGAGTCCGGCCATGTCCGGGGGGTGAGGAGCCAGACAGTCGGTGCCCTGGGCACGCCCACTGCTCAGGCCCGGCTTCCTATCCGCTGGCACCTCATGTCCCGTGACATCGTGACGTCAACTCCGATGTCAAAAGCCTCTCCACCCAGCTCCGCCTTCCCCTGACCAAGCAGGTTCTCCCTGAGTTACTCGGGCCCTCGGGCCCTCTGATGGGGACAGGATGGGGACTGGACGGGGCAGCAGGCCTCTGTGTGTACAGCCTCACAAACCTCTGCTCAACAGCGTCCCTGGGGGATTTTCCTGCCATCACACGTCACCGCCGTCACAGCTGTGAATGTCATCGCCCTCACTGTGTCCAGAGGTCCTGGGGGGTGGGGTGTACGGGGTGGGGGGTGCTCCCTGTAGCACAGGCGCGGACGGGGAAAGAGGCCTCCCCTAGCAGACCTACCCTCAGCCCGTTTGCCTCACTTACAAATCCACGGTGAGTTCGTAATGTGTGCTCTTCCTTTGCAAACGCCTGTGGTCTTACTCTTGGTCGGTAACATGTAAGATTACTCTGCCCTCAGCTCGAGCTACAGGCCTGGTTTCGCAGGTGGATGTGGACTGCAGGGTAGAAGGGAGGGAGGGAAGGAGAGGGGGAGGGGGAGGAGTGGGTGAGGGGGGAGGGATGGGGGAGAGAAGGAAAGGAAAGAGAAAGACAGACTAACTGCTGGGGGAGGGGTGCAGAAACAAAGTCATCAGATGACTAAGCACGTCATTTAAGAGAGATGATAGGTTTTACTTTTAAAATCCCAGTCGCATGGGACAAGGAAGCGGGAAGGTTAAAAATAAAGGGACGAAGAAGGAAGCCAGGTGAACGCTGATGCAGAGGAAGCAGGGATTGCAATTTTAGCATCAGACAAGCCAGACCTGGAGGCGGAAAGCCACCTAAAGAATAAAGGTCAGTCCTCGGTGACGGGAGACGGGAGATGATATAATGACACTGCGTCCCCGAGCGCCTAGCAACACGCTCAGACGGCTGAAGAGGGACGCTGGAACGACAGGAAGACGCAGCAGGAAGCGCCTCCGTCAGCGGGGCTGAGGGCCGTGCCCCCTCTCACTCCCATCAGACCCATGAAAACGAACATGATGTACCGACTGGGCATCGGTCGTCCCCCAGCCCAGCCGCCGGGAACTTCCCTCCTTCTTACGCACGTGTGTGCGTGTTCTCTAAATGGATCGGAGCAGTGAGCCCAGAGGAAGTCAGAACAGCCCCGCATCATGATGTGCCGGCCACGGTCTCTGATTTCCCTGCGACACCATTGACCGTCGATACCATGAGAGAGCCCGAGTGGTTTGTCAGTGGGCAGCCTACCCCACAGGCACCCCCAGATGAGCACAGCTTAAGCTTCAAGGGAGGGATTCACACCAAATCATCCAAGAAGCCAGTGGACCCCGGGCAAGCTCTCCCCTGTCTCGGGGCACTTCACGAGGGGGCACGTTTCATCGGAAGAGTGGGGCAGTCAGCTGGGATATGTGGGGTGCTGAGGGCAGGTAATGAGTGAGCAGGGAGGTCCGAAGGCATTGCCAGGGCTGGTGGATAGACGCGTCACCAAGACGGAGTTCCCACGGTGCCTTGTGGAAAGGAAGGCGGGGGTGGGGGTTGGCATCCGTGATGGGGAAACGTTATTACCACCCATGGTGTTTTAGCCCCACGGGAAGATGGGTGTGACGAGGGTGGGGACGAGGAGGGGCTGATGGCAGGAAGAGGGTTTAAATGCAGAACCTGCTGATGGCCTTTGTCAGCTGGTTTTGTGCAGGAGGGAGAATTCACGTTCAGGCACCTGGGAAACACAGGTAATCCCGTGGTGCTGGGGAAGGGCAGAGAGGAGAGGAAACATGGATTTGTGTGGCTTTGGGAAAAGAAAAGAGTTACCCAGCAGGTGCCCCGGGTCCACGTGGACCAAGCCAGCTGGGCTGGTGAGATGGGCCTGTTCCTTTACTCTGGGGTCCGCAGCCTGTGGTCCGTGGGCTGACGTCGGCCCAACACCATCTTTGTAAATGAAGTTTTGTTAAAGCACAGCCACACCCATCATTTCCCCATTGTCTGCAGCCCCCCACCTCCATCCCCCGTGTGCATGTGCGGCGATGGTCGCGTTGCGTAACTGCCACCGCCTCTTAAGGCTGGAGCCGGAAAGAGCTGCCATCTGGCCCTTTACAGAAAAAGCGTGGAGACCCCTAATTGGGTGGGCGCGGCGCATAGTGCTAGTTCCGAGTCATCAAACATGCTGGCAGCATGAGTCTTCTCTACGAAGTCCTTCCGTTTCCTGTGCCTCTGGAATCGGGAGGGGCTCTTCTCTCACCTGTGGCCTCAGAACCTCTCTTGCAAGAGAAGAGAAGAGCAGAAGGGACATCATCTAGGAAGGAAAGAGGACAGGTAGGACCCCAGCGGGTACTGTGTGTGTGGCTGCTGCCCCCTAGTGGTCAGATGCTGTTACGTCACCTTTCTGGAGCCCTCTCCAGCACCCTCTTCCTCTCCCGCCACCTTCCTTCCTCATTAGAGAGCTTGTGTGAGGGCCTTGTTCCCAGGGCCACCGCCCCCGAGTGATGAAGAAGCTCAACCAGCAAAGGGCAGCCTCGGTGCACGGGAAATGCAGTTTGCTTCTCTCTGATCTGGGCCCTCGCACGCCTTCTGGTCTCACTACAAAGAGCTGCTTCAGGCCGCGTGTCCCCGGGGAGTTGGCTGCCGCCGAGATGTTTCCTTTCTGAAGTGTCATTGCCCCCAGAGGACATGTTTCCCAGAAAGAAGTCTGTCCTCAGCGCTCGCTCAGCTCAGCGGTGGGCATAACTCACACCCGCAGGGAGGGCAAGGCTACTGGTGCCGACTCACGTGGCTTCATGTGTTGCTGCCTGTTTAAGCTTTCACTAAGCGTTTGTGGTCCGTGGCCACGCCCAGGGGCAGCAGGCATGTGGAGCAGGCTGCTTGTCCCCAAGGGGCTGTGACCTCGCAGCATGCCATGGACAATCCACAAATCACACCTCCACCGTACGCCTGGGCGTGTGTCCTGCCCGGGGCCCAGCCAGGGCATGCTCTCTGGCACCAGACACACCGCAAAGAGTGCTGGGTAGACCCACCTGCATTTGGCCTCAAGATAGCTCATTAGTTATGTGTGGGGACCTTAAAATACATTTCTTTTTGTTTTCTTTTTTTTATTGATTTCAGGGAGGAAGGAAGAGGGAGAGAGGGATAGAAACATCAATGATGAGAGAGAAACACTGAATGGCTGCCTCCTACTGGGGATCGAGCCTGCAACCTGGGGTATGTGCCCTGACCGGGAATCGAACCATGACCTCCTGGTTCATAGGTCGATGCTCAACCACTGAGCCACACCAGATGGGCATTAAATTTTATACTTTAAGTTTTAAAGTATATGTTTGTCTCCCAGATCTAAGAGTAAGTCAGACACATCCATTTGCCCCGCTCAAAAACCAATATGTATGTTAATATATTAACAACCATTTAAGACAGCAGCCATTAGCCAGCTGAGCAGCTATTTGTTTAGAGACGAAGATGGGAACAGACACAGATTGCTGGTCATTAGACCATGTTGGCCAATGATGCGTGTTCCTGCACGTGTGAGCCCTATGACACCCGGGTGCCTCTGTGTCCAAGGAGACCCCACTTTGGTTCCAGTGTGCGTGTGAAAACAGGTTTGCACGTTCTGCGTAGAGAAGTTAAGGGGAGACGTGGCTGTGGGGGGAGGAGCCTTAGAGCGCTGAAATAAGACTTTTTCCTTACTGTTCACTCAAGCGTCTTGCGAGGAGCAAGCTGCCATAGCTGCCTCCAGCCGCACGCTGCCCTGAGGGTGCCCCCCGCCCGCCTACAGCAGGGACCAGCTCTCCGGCTTCTGGAGAGTTCTGGGGAGGACTCCCTTCCTCAAGGCTGCCGATCTTAACCTCCTCCCTGCCCACTGAACTGGGCCTCACCCCTCCCCAGGGCAGCCAGAGTCCAGCCTGGTCTCCCTGGAGTGCGGCCTTGGGCCTGAGAAGTGGAACCCCCCAGCGTGGGAAGTCAGGAAGGTGCCTAGCGGAGGAGGTACTTTTCCACCCGGATCCCACCACTCCCACGCCTTTCCCTGCAGAATAGCACACACTCTCCTCGTCCCCCCGCCCCACCCGCCCCTCAGTCACTTCGGCAGGATTAGAAGTAAATGCTTGTGCTGTTGTTTATTTGCAATAGCAAACTGAGCCCTCGGTTGTATTGTATGCAAACAAGCCCTTCTCTTGAACCCATCAAACCACCTTGCTTGGGATTCTAGAGTAGTCTGTAGGCAGCTCCTCTTAAAGCTTTCGTTCCAGTCTGGCCTTCCCCCATTACTGAGAGATGGTGAGAGTCGAATTACTGAGAGATGATGAAGTCGGGGAGTGTTGGCAGGCAAACAGTGGTTGGCGGACAGCGCCACCACGTGGTAGTTCTGTGTCATCGCTTGGTAGGTGACAGGATTAATGACAAAGGTAGGTGCAGTGGAGACCATACCTGCAGGCGCTCAGGACCGTGCACGTATATTTACAAGTTTGTAAACATGCTCTGTGCGTTTTCAAAAGAGTAGCATCTCCCTGTTCCAGCTCTTCTGACCCTGATGTTCCAT